CAAAACTCTATTAACACCTTCACAGAGCTCTGTTAAATAATTAAAATTAAGATATAGTCGGAAAATATTTTTGTGGACACTCAAACAAATTCCTATTCTGCATATGAGAACTATTTTTAAAAATTTTTTTAAATTTAGTATGTTAGCGAAAAATGCTTAAGGAAGGACACTCGATGTTAAGACTCTAGTGCGTTTAAACTAGAAAATGTCACCTATATTCACCTATATCAGGTGATTCTATATAAAAGTACATGCCGAGTGACCAAAAAACAGTTCAAACATTTCTTTCGGGAAATAATTTTAACGATCATTTTTGTACAGATACTACAGCATCACTCACCTTTCAACTTTTTGCAGATTTATCTGCTGCAGTTTATAAGTAATGAACAAAAATCAATTTTTTATTCCTTTTAAAAATTGAAGGGTTCTCAATTTACGTAGTACTGTAGGTACTAGATTTTGCTACACCATGTTGCACTAAATTTTACTCTCCAACAGTATGCAGTATTTTTCACTAAATTTATTGCAATATTTTGTGCTAAATTTTATTATGCTACTACTATACTACAGTATGTAGCATTTTGTATTAAATTTTAATATACTACAGTATATAGCATTTTGTACTAATTTTTACTACGCCTCAGTGTGTAGATAATATTGTACTTAATGTTACTACACTACACTGCAGTATATATTATACTATACTATATAGTATATATTGTACTAGTATATATGGTATTATACTAGAGTGTAGTATAGTGAATACTGCACAATGTAATAGCACAACAAATTTTTTTTAAATATCTTAAAAATTTCAGCTTATAGGTTTACCAAAAAAAGTATGACAGAAGGACGGACACACAGATAGATTGAATAATTTAATCCGATTGATATAATAATAATAATAATAATAATAGATGGATGTAAATACCAATTGTACTAAGCGTTGCACATATTCGTGTAAACTTAATATACTTTATATGACAGGTGGGGCATATAAATATAAACTGAGAGAGATAAAATTTATATCTTTTTCTTTGGATTCCAAAAATGTTAAAATGATAAAATAAATATTTATAGAATCGAATGAACGATAACAGTAATTAAATAACTGGCCCATTAGTCAGATATACTGTTATAACATTACGTAGTCACCCATGAGGGCGGGTGTAGCTATCGAAAGTGCAATATTTATTTGTTATGTGCATATGTCGAATTTGTGACGAATTTATGGGAAATCGAATTGCAATCATTAATTTAGCATTAATCATAATGCAATCTTGCCAATAACGTTTAATAAAGATAACGTAACGGGGGGAAGGCAACATTAGTATTTCACAAAGTAGCAACTAACAATAAAAAAAAAAAAAAAACAAGTAATAAAGTTATATTCGGCGGGGGGGGGCGAATCTCGCTATGTTTGTCGCATTTTACTTTTAAAATTCTTTTATTTGATACTCATATCGCTGGTATTATTAAAAATAAATTAATCGTGGCACCTACATTTATCTTTTCAGAATTAATCCATTTTTAGGCGGTCTTGATTGGCTTACGATAAACAAGAATTTAACCTCAAAAAAGTGAAAAAAATTAAATTTAAAATTACTTTTAACTTTTTGTGGACGCGGCCGATTGGTTCCACTTTTGGATCTAGAGAATAAAGTGTCTCGCAAAGTAAAGGTGGAAAATTTCAGCTCTCTAACTTTTATAATATTCGAGTAACGGGCGGACGTCTGGACGTCTCACTCGTTCTTTGGCAGAATCTGCATGGACTGATATTGTTTTTCAGTTGGTATCTGAAGGACTGTGACTTAGTTCCACTAGTTTATATATGCTATGGCGGAAGATTTTATTTTAGGGACTTTAAGGCGGCTTGGCTGTCGGAATAAATGCTTTCTTAAGCATTCAGAGGCATGAGCGGAAGTTGGATAGACTTCTGCTTAGAATCGGGCTTTCTGAAAACTCGAGCCACAAACCCAAGCCAAAGTTTTGCCATTGTTTGCCATTTTGAACCGACGGCGCGCCATTTGCTTGTTTCTATCAACTTATCCGTCCCAGCCCGATCTTTTCGTTATGCTCATCCTGAACCGAAGGGACGGATCGGGAGGAGTCATGTGTACTGAAAATAGCGGAGAGGTTAGGATAGTCCAGATTAAAGACAAATAGTTCCTGAGCGAGTTTTGCTATATAGTGCCGAATTTCTTTATATTAAAAACTCACGTTGTAATGATACCCAACTTTTTTTGCGCTGCTGCACTAAGTACTGGGCATAGTGTTCCCTAGAAATGTTTTCATTTGGTTGGAATTCAGCCTTATTGTTGTTGATGTTGTTGCCTCGCCTACTCTTTATCGTGGTTATTGTAGACTTTCGATATCGTAGCGCATCCACTGTTCATTACTAGTAAGAAGTTATCGACGCTATCTTTTGAATTAATCAGGAGAAGTTCCGCAAACTTTCCCCAACTTTAGGCGTAAAACCACGCCCAATAAAAGCTTCAAAAAACTATGTTGTGTTTGCTTTAGTGCTCTCAAATGAGTAGGTTGCAGTTATATTGTATACCCTAACAACATTCATTACAATCCCCCTTACTGAATTGGATCGAATTAATTTGTATTTAAAGGCAATATATATTTTTTCTATGGAATTTATTAATTACGTTAATCGAAAACAAATCACTTAACGTGGAGGTAAGTGTGCCTTTTATAGTCAAGTGGATTCGTATCGATGCGAGACGGTCAATAAACTTGTAATAATCTAATGATAACCGCTTTATCTACCTATTAAAACCCTTCTTGACCTTTCCTATTACTAATTAAAAAACAAAAAAAAAAAAAAAGGGAAATTATTTTTCGATTTTTCTTCGACATTAATATTTTCTGTCCTTCCATCTTAAGGCCCACGTGAAGGGACTTGATTGAATCAATAAATTAAAGCAATTATTTTCATCCGTTCTTAAATATCTCGTTGAGCTAGAGAAGCTCTTTCAAAATTACACCAAAGGGATTATAAATATATCTAACTTGATGGCTACGCAACGACCCGTAGACCTTGAGATATATGCTCCTTCTATTACATCAATCAATTCAGAAGCATTTTCTGAATCAATTCAAATTCATCTATCCCTCTGTTGGTTTTTGTTCTGGTATTTTTGATGAACTTTGGTACACTGAGGTGTTTTGACCCAAGGACAAACAATATTCAAAATAATTCAGATCGGACCACGTGCTCGACCACTTGCCATATATCGCCTTTTTTTGAAAAGTGGTTGGTCCGTGACTCGCTACACAGTCTAAATTCTACTCTCCAAGTTCTCTTATGTGGTGGGTATACGAGATTCGGCTCCTCCCGAATATAACTTTCTTACTTGTCAATAATTACGCTCAAATCTAAGATCGACTCGAGGTTTCGTAAATTATCATTTGATCGAATTTAATAAGTGAAGCTTGTTACATTTTAAAGGCGTAAACGCACCGTTCTTCGTGATCTCGTAAAGTTCCTACTTGCCTTGCCTACAACTACTTATAGAAATATGCTTAGTAATGCTTCCTAAGTCTCATGTGTCGTTCTGCAAAAAAAAAAACAAAAACCAAAAATAAAAAAATAACAATAACAGAGAGGAAAGCAACTTGGAGATAAGATGAACTCTCCGAGTATATAATCGATAAGGAATAAAAAAATCGTTATTACATATTATTAACGATTAAAGAGATAAAATTCACTATACAATGAACAGAGAGAGATAATTATATGAAGAAGAAAGAAACACACAGAGACAGAGAGAGAGAGAGAGATCGTATTCTCATTACTGTCTGTGCCATTTAAAGCAAGTCAAGGAATAGTTAGTTACCATTAAGCTGCAAAAGGAAAAACATTTTGATGAAAAATTTACTGAATTCAAAAAAAAAAAAAAAAAAAAAAAAAGATTTTGGGAAATTTAATAAAATTTTAAAAAAGAAGAAAAGCAAAAACATGGCTGTTGTTACAACTGAAACACAAACAAGTATGCAAGTAGCGCGTAAACGATCTATTTGTGATTGCTTTCACAATTGTAGATCTTCAGTGCCTAGAAAACAATCATTGTGTTATCAAAAATTTTTAGCTAAACGTGAAGCAAAACCTCATACAGCACCGTATGTAGTATCCATACAACTAATGACTGTTGATCAAGGTTTAGTGCACTATTGTGCTGGGACTATAATCAATGAAAATTGGATTGTTACCGCCGCCCATTGCCTAAGTAATCCCATGATTGTCGTCAATTCTGTGATAATGGCCGGCTGTCACGATATACATGCCCGTCATGAGAGCGGAAATATACAATTACGTCAAATCGATTATTATACCATACATGAACTGTTTTTGGGTGGCATTAATCCATACGATATTGCGTTAATTCATACCGAAAAACCATTTAAATTTGACAAATATGTGCAGCCTGCTCGTCTACCGGAAAGCGATTCGATACCGATCGGTTATGGTAGACTATATGGTTGGGGTAATATGTCTATGACTAGGCAACCGCAATATCCGCATAAATTGCAAAAGGCCGATATGCCCATTTTGGATTATCAATTAAGTGAAGAAATTTTGAATGCCTCTGGTATGCAATTGCATGAAACCAATTTATGTACGGGTCCTTTAACGGGAGGCGTAAGCATTTGTACAGCAGATTCGGGTGGACCACTAATGCAAATGGATCACACAATTGTTGGCATCGTTTCATGGGGTAAAAGACCGTGCGGTCAAAAAAATTCACCCTCAGTTTTTGTACGAGTATCCGCCTTCAGTGATTGGATTTTAAATATCATTAAAAAACATCGGAAAGCATGAAAGAACAGCAAAGAGAAAAAAAATTAATAAAATCAGGTTATAAGAAGAACTCGAATTGTAATGATTTTTCCATTTCATTTATATCAAGTAGTATTCAATCTCATATTTATAAATACACATATGTACACGTGTATCAAAAATCAAATCTCAAGAGATTTTCTATATTAAGTCATATATTTATAGAAATTACTTAAAAGTAAAGAATAAATAAAAATAATAAAAAAAAAAAAACTATTGTAATTTTACTTTAAATCCTAATAATAATAAAATGAAATTCTTAAAATATTATTCATATTTAACTTGAAACAATCTGAAGAGGTTGTAAGCTATCAGATAAGTGGGGGTAAAGTCAACCCAAACAACGATTGTAAATCTTATATCAAACAAGAAAAGTATGGGATTTTTTTTAGTTTGGATTTCTTGGACACCCGTGTATCTAAAACGATGATCGTGATATTTAAAACTACTTGTATAGTGCTATCTCCAATATTCAAATGGAAAAGCCCAGCTTTTTTTTTTTTAAATGCACTTATTAAAGAAGGACTAGGCCCGTTTTATTTATAATGTCAATGAAATTTATAAATACTATCTTGCTTTAAACTTATTTCAATAGCCATCTCTTCTAATCTTCATTTCGTTCTCCTTAAGAGACTCTTATTGGATAGAACTATTTATTAATTTCAAGTAGTGAAAACACTTTAGTGGGACGCATTCCATCCAATGCTCTGCACCTCTTCGTTTAATACAATTTTTCATAAAACAAGAGTAGGACTTTATATGGAAAGTGGTCGAATGGGCGGCCGAATTCCAATCAATTTTCATTAACATTCGCCAATGGAGCAAAATATGTCGATGGATCAAGCTTCCAAAAGAGAACAGGCAGACAAGCATTTTATTAAAGAAAAAAAGCTATAATGAGCCACTACATCATCTTACAGTTATTACTTCTTACAATAGGGCTCTATGGGGGGAGTGATTGAAAAAGAATCATTTTCAGTAGCGTTCGTTCTCGGGCCAAAATATGTCGATAGACCAAATTTTATCGAAATATCTCAACAACTCCGATCTGTATGTCGAGTACAAGAACACAGACACACGGACACGAAATTGACCGATATAATAACAGGTGAATCGATCTCATGTCCGTCCGGGCGCTGCTTACACCTGAACAAACTCTGTGCGCATTTGCGTATCACAAATTGTGTAGGTTATAATCGAATCGCTGAATACGGTGGAGGGATGAATATTTCCATTTCATTAACTTTTAAATGATTATCACGTTCTTTGGCTTCTAATGGATTCAAATACCAGACGCACAGAGGATATCATCATGGAATCTTGTCGTTATAAACCTGCTCTCATTTTAAAATTTCATTTAAGCACGGTTTTAGAACTTCCACTTTATATGGCAATACCTACATAGCTGATTGGGTACAAATATATGTAAGTATATATAAATATATAAAAAGGTGCGCGCTCATCAATTGAAATCAACCCAAACACGCATTGCACGCAGATATGAGCATTTTATGGATGTTACAAAGGGATTGACGGGAAAATTATGTTCAGTTCACACGACCGTCTGGAAGAGGTGATAGAAGGAAAGCCATTGGGAATTATGATCATAATAAGTCCCGTTATATTTATTATAATCTTGCGAATTTGCCTTGAACTATTTTGAGCTATGACGTTAAATATATTTCATCGATTGAATAACGTCCGTCCTTACGTCGAAACCTTTTAACATACATAAATGTTCATTTAAATTCCATATGTTTTTTATATAAAAACTTTTATTTTAAAAAACGGCTAGAAAATTATTTTCAATAGGTAGCATTCTTCGGCCGAAACGGAACTACGGCAGCCGGCAGGTGACCCATAAAAATTTGTCAACGGACATCAGAAGAACAAGTAAAAGTACGACATGGCCCACCATTAAATACTTCACATCACCCTACACTTATCCATGCATCGTCTCTTCAAAACAATAGCTTCCGCTCTTTAATCAAAATACATCAGTCTACTAAACTTAATCAAAATATTTCACAAATACAGTCTGAAGACAAGAAAATAAGGCAGACAGATTAGTTTAGATCGATTGAGAAAGTGATACTTCGTTAAGATAAAAGTTGCGTCTATCTCTGCCTCTTACGAGTATTGCATACACCAGAAGTGGCGAAGAGTACCAAGACGAATACAGTACGAGTAAGAAATAGTTTTATATATCAACAGATTCAGGAGCTAATTTACTTATTTTGTTATCTATAACATCGTATAAATCATGATGAACAAGTAGAAGTGAAAATGCAAAACGTAATTATTATTAAACCTTATAAACCATTTTTTATTATCATATTGAAAAAGAAATATTTTCGTTTTGAGAGCTTTATGTAATACTTGAATACTTTTGAAATTAATTATTATTTTCCAGCTAAATATATAAACATGTGCGATGTCTGACGTCTTATAACAAAGGCATATGACTTGGATTTTTCAGAAGAGACAAAACATTTTTTTTTTTCCTTACACTTACAGATTAGATAAAGAATAGAAAAATGTAGTTAATATGTTTATAAACAATATTGGAAAAAAATGAAATAAATAGAAGGAAAAAGAAGAAAAAGTAGCTAAAGAACATGCGAACATAGATAAATAAGGAAATAACATTGAAAATTGTTTGTATTTGCAAAAAAAAAAAAAAAAAAAAATGTTTATGGAAAACTTGGAATTTTTTGAAAACTATTGACATTGACCTTTACTTTTCTATAGAGGAAAAATATCCACCGAAAGGCTTACAATGCTATTTGCCTGCTTGCGATCGCCTTGAGACTAACCTGTAACTAGGCGCACTCACATGTTTGCAAATTCTAGGTCTCGAAAAAAATGCACATGTAAGGCAAAAAAATAATGAAACTAAAAATGCTGATATTTTTTATATATATATACAAGTTTTTATCATATCACATGTACTATGAACGGCCTCAAAAGCCACTTGCTTACCTTCTTTCTAAGCTTCCCCCGTATATGACACAAACGTTTAACACCATCAAAGCACATCGCTTCCAGACGTCCATTGCCTAACATCTTAGTGACTTGGGCATATTCTTGCTGATCTTCTTTGAATATGAGTTCACGTTTCTCAAATTCATTTTCATTCTTTCCACGACGACGATTTTTACCACCTTTTCCTTTATTCTTAGGCATTTTGCTTTATATTTGATTTTGCAAATTAATTACACAGCAAGCACACTTCAAATCTATATCAAAAAATTTATCACAAAATTAATGAACGTATATTTTCCTTTTTATATATAATAACTTGAATTTTATTGCGACACATTCAAGAAAAAAAAAATGTAATAAATTATTTCACTTACGAAAATTGCTTTTCGATGAGCTTTATTTTTTCAATTTCTCGATAGGAAAGAAAGAAGAGATGATAATAAAACTGAATGCATAAGAGATTTGTCAATTGTCAAATATCGTATCAAAAAGTAAACGAGATGACAGCACTAACATTAATTCTTGATAACAATGATTGCCAACCTTTGCTTCGTGATCAACGATACAATTTTATTTAGCTAGAGATAGTTTTCATATTCAATGTCGTTAAAGACATAATTATTCTTATATATATATAGATTATAGAGTCGAAAATACGGGATACTTTTTTAAACTTAATTACAAAATTTGATGGGAATTGACCAATCGTATGGGGACTGACACAATGGGCGGTCATTAGGCATTAAGGACCGTTTATATTAAAGTTAAAATATACTCATCAAATTGTTTTATTAGAGAGTGATAAATGCTACCTTCCAAATTATGGATCAATCAATACACAAAAATATATCTAATATTTATGTCAATCAATCTTATTTATAACTAAGTAATAAACAGACTTGTTTACCTTTGTATTAATTTTCTTGTTGTTAAATTTTATAAATTCGCTGTTTATCTTTGCGATGATTTCTTCATATTTGATTGTAAAATCAACCGTGTTTTTATTTACAACTTCTTGTCAACAATATTGTACTGCGATAGATTTCATTCAGACAATATTAATTTGCTTTGTCCGTCGTTTTTGAGCAACGGTGAAAGCTGACAACTCGCTCTTAACCCTTTAATGAATTTTTCTTATTTGAAAAGGTGACATTTTTTGAAGGTTACTTATTGAGAAAAAATATTCTTCTTTATTGTTGAAAAATTATAATAAATAATTCTGCGAAGTGTTCCGTGAGTTTTTAATTGGAAAAAAACGATTACATTGCTTACTCGCAAATTGTATCAAGTTACAAAGAGGTGCCTATACGAGTTTTTCAGGGAAAATTATGCATTCTGAAGCAGAAATTCGCTAAAATCTTCTCAATTCTTTTGAGTCAATATGGCTAAATGCCGGGATAATGAGTATCGGCAAAGGTACCATTTAGCAAGGTAACGTTTTTTTATATATATATAAATTTTTTTTCTCATTTATAATATACGATGATACTAGAAAAAATAACACAGTCAGCCGTGGGCCGAAAAAGACGAGCCGATGTAGCCAGCGTTCTGAAAGACTGGAGACAAATTCTAAAAAAATTAAGACAACCCTCGAAAAGTGAGCAGGCGACTCTCAGGGAAAGTGAGCACATGGCAGAGGATTGGATGGCTAGCAAATAAGAATTAAATTTTCCAAATCTCTTCATGAATCCGCCAATCTTCAAGACGTTCTGATTGTTCTTGTAGTTGTAGTAGATCTAGAATTCACGATAATATGCATAGATTTTTACGTAAGAGTCGGAGCAACTCTCTTGTTCTTGCACTTGTTCACCACAACGTAAGCATCGCCCAATGTCTGATATAAGCCATAACAGCCCAAGATGGAAAAAGGCCCGATCAGGCACTTGTCACCGCGAAGTCGTCATCGTTCAATGTTTAACAGAAGTCATAAAAGCGAAACTCGGAGCAATTCTTCAACACGCACCCGTTCACCGTCGCCGTCGTTCAAAGTCTAACGAAAATCATAACGCAATTCGGAACAAGGCCCGATTACGGGCTTGTATGTATATATATGCATACATAAACTTTTAGCCGGAGCAGCACTTGGCTTTGCACTTGTCCCCGCATTTTTTTTTTTTTAGTAGTAGTAAGTTTCGCAACTTTCTTAGCTAGCGACAGATTTTCCACCGTTTTTGGGTACATCTTTGTCGTCAACACTTAATGCGGAATTTTCCTTTTTCGCTACTACTACTGCTACTACTACGAGTGTACAAAAATGTACACAAAAACGGTGGAAAATCCGTCGCTAGCTAAGAAAGTTGCGAAACCTAGAAGTAGCAGAGAAGGTTTTTTTCATTTTGCTAAGGTCTTCGTGGGCCGTTCTCAGACTTTGCTGCCTCCTTGGCGGTTGTAACTGCTATAAGACTTGCTAGCTTTAAACTTAAAAAAAAAATGTATAAAGAAAAATTTTTAATTTTTCTTATTTCATTTATTTTGCTTTTATTTCAATTTAATTTAATTATTTATTATGTATTATAGTAATAGTTTCTAATTTTTTAAATTATTTTTTCTAAAAACAGAAAATTCACCCTAGTTTCCACGTATATTTGGAAAGGCCGCCAATAAGAAAATTTCAATTTTAAATGATAGACTTGATTTTAGTTCAGTTAGAAAAGTAGTAAGAAACTTTAGGCTCCGTTCGCTGTATGTTTTAAACGATTGCCTATAGTATGAAAAACTTGCATTGAAAATGTTATGTGACAGTTAATTTTAATTAATGAATAAAATAATTATTTAAAAAAATATATATGATGTTAAATAAAATCATAAATTAACTAATTCAATAATAATGAAAGTATATGAATTGGGGAGATAGAAACAAAAGAATATTAATGCTTTAAAGAAAGTTAAGGTAAAAATTGCAGGCATTCTTATTGATATCTATCATTATTAATATATATATATAAGAAATTTTTGTGATCAATATTATGCAATTTCCAAGTTCCCCATATGTATATTTTTTATATATGCACCATTATACATTAAGTATAACTGAATGGTAAAAGTTTGTCAAAATTTACAACAATATCCATATACGATACGTGGCACTGCTATCGTGAATAGAAAATTAAAAAATCGTAATAAATATATATCGTAAAAACTGAAATATACCTAACTATGACAGGGATGTATGTACAAATGTGACAATTAACTACAGAGTTATCTGTTTTGTTTTATCAAACCAAAAACAATTTTGTTTACGAAAAATTACTTTTAAGCTCTGGCACGTTGTCATTGTGCTTAAAATAATCCTGCCTTTCCAAAAAAAAAGAAAGAAAAGAAAGGGTAAACATATTTAATTTTTTCAATTCAAAGATTAATACAGCATTATGGCCCCCAAGAAGGATGCAAAAAATAAGGCCAGTAAGAAAAATACTGATGGTGATGGTGGCGGTAGTAGTAATGGGAAAAAAACTACTAATGCCGGCTCGGCCATTAAAGTGAGACACATTCTTTGCGAAAAACAGGGGAAGGTCCTTGAAGCTTTAGAAAAATTGAAAGCTGGACAAAAATTTCCTGAAGTAGCTGCTGCTTATAGTGAGGATAAGGCTCGACAAGGTGGTGATTTAGGGTGGCAAATACGTGGTTCGATGGTTGGGCCATTTCAAGATGCTGCCTTTGCTTTACCGATATCGACTGTTAGCAATCCCGTATATACTGATCCGCCGATTAAAACTAAATTTGGTTATCATATTATTATGGTGGAAGGGAAAAAATAAATTTGAACTTATGTCCGCAAGTTTTTCCCCCTAAAAAAGAAAAAACTGCGTTAAATGCGTAAAATACTTAAAATTCTTAAGGATTACGAATTTTATATATTTATAGGTTGTAACTGAAATAATGATTCAATTACGGATGTTTCTCACAAATCCTGCATAATTTCACGAAAAAATTTGAAGTCTAGTGGGTTTGCAGACTCCAACAATTACGACGAGATGGTTTAGGGTTCAACGATATTTCAGGATGCATATCGCTACTAGGACTAGCTGAATACTTTCGCACTTCTTAACTAATATAGAAAAGTTATATGCCTGCAGGGGCTATTTATTTTTTAATCACCATCCGAAGTGGAAGACGGAACACGTTCTCCGATTAGGTTAAGTACATATACATAACATAGATATGGTTCGAACATGCTTGGAGGCCTGGACGCTAGCGGAACCCCTATTAAATTTTGACCACATCACATTCGGTGCAGCACATTCATTGGCTGACACAAACTCATCAAAATTCAACATAGAAAGCAATTCATGAAATAATGTACGGAACAAAATCGACGACAATTAATAAAAATAAATAAAATTGTGGAGAAAGAGCGTGCCTTAGAATGTGAGGAACAACAAGTGCTTGAGAATTGAGAATGCGATATACAAAAACGTCGTTGCGCTGAATCTGATGGTATAATGGTATAAGCACCTTCGAGGATACCATAAACGCAAATTATGAGAATTTCTTAGGTGGATTAGACAAGAAATCAAATTTGGATTTTGAATTTTTCAAACAACATCAACTTGACTTCTTAAAGCAGCGGAATATAGCAGAAAATCGGAGTGCTGAAGTGGAACGACATGCCAAACGGAATATGTCGATGTGCGCTGCTCTATTAGGCTCTTGCTTATATAAAAGACCCCCCTTTTGAAGGAAGGGAATTTTAATTCTTTTCTCTTTTGTGTATAAAGAAAAAATCGTCTGAATAACGTATCAGTTTTTTAACTAAACACAAAGCAAGCAAAAAAAATCCAATTCGATAGCGATAGAATCCTTCATACCAAAAAAAAAAACGCAAAAGAAGTAAAAGTACAAAATTCCCATTTTCTCTAATAATGGAGTGGACACAGGGGATTTCTTCGATTTTCAAAGTAAAAGTTTTTGTCGTAGAGGCATGTGCATGTGTTTTAGGCACGTCCTTTGAAAAGTTTTGGTCAGTTTCAAATTCTTTGGCAAATTTTTAAGGCGATATCTTTATTTTCGCTAACTGGAGACCGTTTACCAAAGATGCTACAAAGCTGCGCAAACAGATAGATGGACAGAGAAACAGGCGAAAGTGTTTAGATGCATTTCAAATTGGCCAAGAATTTATACACTATGGGATTTGTTAAGCTTTTTTCTGCGCCTTACAAAGGCATTGAAAACAAATAAAATTTTGATATACCATAGCATTGGATAGGCATGGTCAATTTTTTCCATATACGTACAGATACTGCAGCTTCGCCCATAAAATGCTTGTTTAAATTTTCGTGCATTTATTGCGCGTGCATATATGCTTTAGTTTATAAGTAATGACCAAAAAACCAATTTTTCATTCCCTTTCAAAAATGGGTGTGTTCTCAGTTTACGCGATGTTGTGGGCGTGTCGTTCGATTGATTTGACTCATTTTCAATACCAAACTGCAAGAGTTCTCAATGTTTCTGTCAATTATGTAGTCGATGAGTTCATTTTTGCGGACATGAGAATGTTTACAACAGACATTACACAGACGGACAGCCGGCTAGAAGGATATGCTTAACTCGATTTAAAATTTGTTGCTGATCAAGAATATATATACTTTGTGGGGTCTCTGACGCTTTCTCCTGGGCGTTGCAAACGTTTTGACAAAATGCATATACTCATCCTTCTCTTTCGATGAGAGGTATAAAAAGGAAGCGCAATAGGCTTCTCTCGCTGTCGATATTATTAATAAGTGGTAATCTGGTCATCTTTATTATCACTATAAGTAAAAGATCTGTTAAAAAACAGGTCTCTTCATAAACAGTCGTTATAAAAAGTAGAAAACTTTCTAAACATTTAAATGCTTGTTTCTATCGCACCTTTTAAAAAAATTCGGCTTTGGCCGCTCGTACGTAATCATTTTTAACTTGCTATTTTAATTTGGTTTTCCTTCAGCATCTATGAGAAAAGTATTTTTTTTCGTGGTCGCCACTAATCACTAGTCCGAAATAGGTAAGAGTTAACTTTTGTTTCTTTTAACGTATGGATACTAATTACTGTTATTCTTATTAGTATTCAATTTTGTTGACTTATGGTAAAGGACGTGTTAGTGTCACAATTAATTTATATTATTGATGATACCATTTGTTTTCATTGTCGTCCTTTCTTTCTGACCATAAGAATCAATTGAGAAAATCAAATCGCGTATTAAAAGCGGTGACTATCTAAAATTATTCTAAATAAAATGTAATTACATATGCATACAGCAGTGGAAAATTAATCCAATCCTAGCTTAAATATCTTCTCTTCGGTTGTTTTTAAATGTCAAATGTTTAACGATTCTATTGTACACTTTTGCTATTATTGGACAAAATGAAGGCAATAAATAATCTCATTTGCATTTACATTTGCAATAATTGGTTCTGGTAACATTGCATTTTTATACGTTGCGGCTTTGGTGTTGTTGCATTTTCGCACATGTTATAGAATAATCTTCAATCTTGTGATTTCTTATTGTAAATCGTTTGTTTTTTAAACAATTCTTCAATAAAAAAATTTGAACATTTCGCTAAGGTTGGATTGCATATTAAGAAACTGAATTATCTCTTAAAATTTTATAATCATTGCTTTTGCTTGTTAGCCGCAGTATGTCAGGAGAATTGTTGTTGCAATTTCAGCATTTGGGTATGAGTGAGCAGAAAGCGAAGGAAACCCTTAAGAATGCAAACGTTACTAAGAATTTACAATTGGCTTTGGCGGAAATCAACGGTAGGGATTTACCTGAAGGCGCTGGCATGCTATTGTATCATATGGCGACTAAAATTAAGCCACAAATTGCGGGTCAATTACCTTTGATAACGCGCTACATTGCGAGCGGTAAATTAAATAGTGCTATGAAAGTTGATGCAAGTTTGGAATATTTACTAAAGCTGGGCCAGAAAATAGACATCAATGTTGATATAGAACAATTTGAATCTGAATGCGGTGTGAATGTAATCATTACACCGGAAGAAATTGAGAAACTGGTTCAAAAACTTATACAAAAGCATACAAAAGCATTATTAGAGCAGCGTTATCATTTCAATTCATCGAAAATAATGCAAGAAGTCAGGGAACATTTGAAATGGGCAGACGGTAAAAGTGTTAAGGCAGCTATAGATGTGGAGATTTTTGATTTACTTGGCCCGAAGACTGAGGATGATTTGAAACCTGCCACTAAAATCGATAAGAAAAAAGAGAAATCAAAATCAAACGATAATGTGGATAATAATAAATCGATGAAAAAGGAAAATGATACGGAAAATCATGATGGAGCTCATACTATAGGGGAACTAATGAAAACTAAGGTACATTTCCATGCACCGGGTGAAAACTATAAGACCGATGGTTATGTGGTTACGAATCATACTGAAAATTTACTAAAGCAGCATTTACGTGTAACAGGTGGTCGAGTTCAAACTCGTTTCCCACCGGAACCTAATGGTATTCTTCATATTGGTCATGCTAAAGCTATAAATATCAATTTCGGTTACGCCGCTGCTCACGGCGGCATTTGTTATCTGCGTTACGATGACACAAATCCTGAAAAGGAAGAAGAAAAGTTTTTTACAGGCATACATGATATGGTTGAATGGTTGGGCTATAAACCATATAAGATAACGCACTCTTCCGATTATTTTCAGCAATTGTATGAATGGGCTGTTATTTTAATACGCAAAGGCTTGGCTTATGTTTGTCATCAAAATGCTGAAGAAATGAAGGGATTTAATCCCAAACCGAGTGAGTGGCGAGATCGTCCCATAGAAGAATCTTTGCAACTGTTTGAGGATATGAAAAATGCGAAAATTGACGAAGGAGTCGCGACCTTGCGTTTGAAAATAACCTTAGAAGAAGGTAAAGTAGATCCTGTAGCGTACCGAATTAAATTCATACCACATCATCGCACAGGAGATAAATGGTGCATATATCCAACATATGATTACACTCATTGCTTGTGCGACTCTTTAGAGAATATAACCCATTCATTGTGTACCAAAGAATTTCAATCTCGTCGTTCCTCTTATTACTGGTTGTGTAATGCTTTAGATATTTATTGCCCTGTCCAATGGGAATACGGACGTCTAAATATGAATTATGCGTTGGTGTCGAAACGGAAAATTGCGAAATTAATTCAGGAACGTATTGTTGAAGATTGGGATGATCCGAGATTATTTACGTTGACAGCTTTAAAGAGAAGAGGTTTCCCGCCCGAGGCTATTAACAATTTCTGTGCTCAGATGGGTGTAACCGGTGCGCAAATATCAGTGGATCCTTCCATGTTAGAGGCGGCTGTAAGAGACGTTCTAAACGTAACAGCACCTAGACGTTTAGTAGTTTTGCAGCCCTTAAAAGTTATTATAGCTAATTTCCCTTACGATTCGATGCAAGAGGTGATGGTACCCGATTTCCCCCAAAACTTAGAGCTAGGCTGCCATCGTATGATCTTGGACCGAGTGATATATATAGAGCAAAGTGATTTTCAGGAAAACCCCGAGAAAGGGTATAGGCGTTTGGCACTCGGTCAATCAGTTGGGTTGCGACACGCCGGGTTAGTTATAAAAGTAAAAGAAGTACTAAAGGATATATCTACGGGTGAAATAAAGGAATTGTTATGCGATTGCGAGTTAAGTGAGAAAGCTGAAAAACCTAAAGCCTTTATTCAATGGGTATCGCAACCTATTACCATCGAAGTTCGTCTATATGAATTACTGTTTCAGCATAAGAATCCTGAAGATCTAAATGAAGTGCCAGGAGGTTTCCTTACGGACATCAATCCGAACTCGAAGATGGTTTTGAAATCATACGCTGACCGTTCCTTAAGTACTGTTAAGGTGTACGATAAATATCAATTTGAACGTATAGGATTCTTCTCGGTTGATCCCGATACAACGTGTGAGAAGCTGGTCTTCAATCGTACGGTAGTCTTGAAAGAAGATACCGGAAAAAAATGAGGAATAGTCCGATTTAATAGAAATTATTTTTCTAACATTGAGAAGCTTTACTTGAAATAAAAACAGTTTTTATAATAATTAATACTACTCTGAACAAATAGTCCCGTTACCTCCGCCACCGCCACCGCTTAATATGGCGGAATTTATCATTATCGTATGAAGGTTCAAGGCATTTAATTGACCCATCACTAAGATTTCATCCATAGCTTTTTTAGCATACAGTTTTTGCTCGGACGATAGCTTTCGATAACCACAAGCCCATGCCCGTGCATAAATATCCGCTTCGTCATTATCTATGCAATCGCTTTGATTAGGGTTTACCCTATTCTCATGATAAATAACAGGCTGAGGTGATAAGGAGAGACGTTGAAATTTCGGCTGCTTTCCCAGTTGATTGCTATCTGATGAAAATAATTCCAACGATCGTTTTGTGCCTGAGTTGCGAATCTCTTCCTGTGCGATTTGCAATGACTTTTCATTATTTTCCTCTTCATTTGTCTCGCAAGTATGATCTTTATCCTGCTTTATGCCGGGTGAAGTTTTTCGATATCTGCTTTGACTTTTTCGGATTATACTGTTGAATGCCGAAGGTAAGGAGACAGCTTGATTTCTTTTATTCTGCTCTTCAAATGCTAAATGCGGAGATGTCCGAGTCATAGTGTCAGCCAACTAAATACAAATACAAAAAGGAAAAATGAACAAAAAAATTCATTTTGTCGTACTTTCTTATATTTCTTTTACCCATGGTTGCTTTTGATCCTGATCAAAATTTCGCAATTTTTCGGCAGTTTTATTTAAAGGTAATTTCCTACATATACGACGTCCTAAAGATCTCTTGATACGATCATCATCTTGCATACGAGATTCATTATCGTCATCATTGGTTCGAGGACTATCTAAGGTTTCAATTTCGCATTTCATTGGATATCCTACTGTCTATAAAAAAATTAAAAAAAAAAATTTGTCATTAATGCATGCGAAAATGGGATAGAATGGAATACTCACCAATTTAGTATCATCGTCGTAGGCTGCTATATTGGTTTCATCAAAGCGAAAAGAAATTTTTTCCAAATATTTCTCCTGTTCCAATAGAAAGGACAGCTGTTCAAAATACCATAACGTAGGATTATATTCATCAATACCATTTGTACGCGATTGTTTAATTTTTCTCACTTCACGATTAAAATTTGAACGAAAAGTATTTATTTTACGTTTAACGGCATCATGATTGGCATCGGGTTCAATATCTTTCAATTTTTCAACCATCTTATCCCAACTTTCATTTCGTTTCTCGCGATTGCTATAATCTTCATGTTTACTATTCCATAAGCATGGTAAATTTTCATAAAGATTAATAAATTCTGTCCAGAATTTTTTATTAGCCGTAATTGCCATAATTGGGGAATAATAATAATGCAACCGTTGCCTTCAATTCAGTTTTTATAATCGCAAAAGATTGGATCAGGCCGAACGTAAGTGAATCATGCGAAGCATCATTCATGCTACCAGTCAGCGCAAATTTCAATGTTGCCAGATTGTTTAACTTCAAGAATTAATTATTTTCAAATTGGTGAGTGAATGATAATTAAACCCGTTATACCCTTCACCGCAAGATGAGGGGCATATTCATTTCTTTGTCACAATGTTTGCAACGCCCAAAAGGAAGCCTCAAAGACCCCACAAAGTGTATATATTCTTGATCAGCATCAAATTTTGAATCGATTTAAGCATGGCCCGCCCGTGCGTATGGCTGTTTGGCCCTATGTTGCAAACATCCCTCTGGCCGCAAAAAAAAGTTGCCAGCAGAAAAATTGAAAATTATTGCATGCAGGTTATTATTGAAAAATGATCCAAGTCGGTCAAAGGACACGCCTACAGTATGACGTAAACTGAGAACATCAAAGGAATCAAAAGTTGGTTTTTTGCTTATTATTCATAAACTATAGCAAATAAATGTACAACAATTTGAACGCATATTCTAAGGGCGATGTTGTAGCATCCGTGCATAGAAATGGGAAAATTTGACCACACCTACTCAACATTACAGTGTATCAAAATTTAATCGTTTTTTTCAATACCTTTATGACGTGCAGAAAAAAGCTTCAAATGTACAAATTCTTGGCCAATTTCAAATTTGAAATGTACGTAAACACCTGCGCCTTTTCGTCCGTCCGTCTGTCCTTTACGCAACTTTATAGTATTAGCCGTAAACATTCTCCCGTTAATGAAAATGACGATATCGTTTACAAATTGGCAAAAGAATTTGGAATTGATCTAAACTTTTCAAAGGACATGCCTATAACGCCCACAACCTTAAGCGACAAAAACGTTAATTTTGAAATTAGAAGAAATCTAATGCGCCCATATTACAGAGCATGAGAATTTTGTTCTTTTACTTCTTTTCTGTTTTTTGGGTAAACGGTGATGGGTATAAAAGATTCGGCTCCGACCGAATTTATTTTTCTTACTTACTATTATTATTATTAATTTCTAAGCTAGAGAAATAAATTCTAAGACAAAAGTAATTTTTTTTATTACAGGATATCGCAATAGGATAGTGAAATAGAACATCGGGCAAATGGACTTCATGTCCATGGTTTTCCTGACTCATAAGCACTCTTTCGTCAATACAAGAAAATAAGCAAATAGGTCTTGTCATCATGTAAATTGCAACAAATGTACAAGAAATTGAACGTATATTCCATGGCCAATGCTGCAGTACCTCATCTTTGTTTAATGTTAATCATTTTAAAATTTGTCCACGTTACGATGGATGTCTATATGTGAATCAATACGAAATAATTAGCAATAAATTGAGAAAACTATATTCAATCGGGACCGAATCTTTTACATGCATCGCCTTGATCCTAAAAAAAATGGAAAAAAACTAAATTTTCATACTTTACGATAACTTTACGAGAGGGCGTGGCTGATCTTTTTCTACTTCCAGAACAAAAGTGGAAATTTATATTATGCCTGTGCTGTACTTTATGAGCAAGAAGCGAAAAGCCACATACAATACTGCATATATTTTTGAGAAAATATCAAAGTCAAATTGGCGGGCAACGCACACAGACAGATAGTGGAGACAGATAGAGTGGCTGATGGCATATAAAAAAGAAACGAAATCCTATGATAAATGTTTACAGCAACATTTTACCCTTTCCTAATAGTTATGTACATGTAAATGTATAATAGGCTACACGCTAGCGTATTTCAAATTAATTTGAAATATCGTTCGCGTTCAACAATGTGTACGAATAACCGTCCGCGGGCAACAATGTATATGAAAGATCGTCCGCGCTCAACAATGTGTATGAAATATCGTTCGCGCTCAACAATATACATGAAAAACTAGAAGAGTCAATACAAATAATGAGCGAACTTCGAATTTTGTTGCTTTAGAGGAGAAGTAAATGAGCGAACTTCGAATTTTTTTACTTAACAGGAGAAGTAAATGAGCGAACTTCGAATTTTGTTACTTTAGAGCGTAGGTGAAAGAGTTTTCTAGCTAATATAGTATGTTTTCTATTTAACCCTTTTAGTTTATTTAGTGTATCTTTGGACAAGGTAATGATGAGGTTGTCGTATGAAGGCTCACATCGCTCAATATAAAATTGTTGAAAGCCGTCGTCAAAATATTGGTTAACTGTTATCAGTTGATTGTGATACGTCAGAAAGGCGCATTTGTCGTCGACAAAACCTTTCCTAATAGGTATGCAATATGGCGCCGATACATATTCGGATATATTGCGAATTTTATGAAAATTAAAAAATCTTTTGCTTCTGTTTTTCTTCTTTAACAGTATAAAAATGGTTAAGCCATTTAGCCTGAGTGGCCGAGTAGGCAAGAGTTTCGATTAGCAACTCTATGGTCGTGGGTTCAAAACTCAAGTGCGTTAGAGTTTTTAATAAAGCCGAAAGCCTTAGATGCTAGTGCATCATAGGGCGACTTTAAGGCTTTGCTGAAAATGGACAGTTCTGTTAAGGAATTATTTTGCTTATTGCAAAGGGTGGCTTACGGGTGTTTGTGGCTGCATCAAAAATTCAGGCGCGTTAATTGCATTGCTAGTATTATTCGCGTAACTACCATTATTACCTCCACCATCCACGACCGACCGCTAGCACCGCTGTTGTTACTTGTTGAATTTTGACAAGTGGACTGACTTATACAGTTGCAGCAAGTTGCGTGCTTTGTGTTCAGCCCTTTAGCAACATTGCTGCAACAAAATAACCAGCAAGAGGTCAAGTCACTTGATCGAGAGATCACTTTTGACAAGCAAGAGAGAAAAGAAAATAAAATTAAATGAGCATCTCCTTGTATTTGTTTGAATCGATCCTTTTGATATCAATTATTATCGATCGGAGCTGCTCATATTCGAATCTACAGTTAGCCATTGGAATAGACCGCATTAAGAGTTTTACCCGTCTACCTAACTGGCTACTTTTTCCGGCCTGTAGTTTATTTACTACGTGCATAATGAACGTGGAAAGACGGACATACTTAAATTTATTCAGAATTTTATGCTGTTCTATAATATATATGCGATTTAGCGGATCTAAGAAATTTTGCAAATGTTTTGATAAACTGCATATATCAGCGACCTTGTCCATTTTATGTAAAGAATTTTGTAATTTAGCTCAAGTGGTTTTTCGATTTAAATGCATTTGGGGTTTAATAAATTTGCATGTAAGCAAGCATATGTGCATGCATTTAATATTAAATAAATCTCCATTAATTTAAATAAATTTTAAGTGCTGCGCATTTAAGTAAGTTTCTGATTATTGCGTTTTCAAGTTATTTTAAATGAAAATTTTGTCATGTTTTAAAGCAGGTATATATATATATATATATATATATATGTATACCCTGCATCACTTGCGTAAAGGTACATCAAGTTTATGCGAATGTTTGTAACAAGCAGAACGACTTTATCAATTTATCAATTATTGTCATTGATTCAGACATTCGGTTTATGACTCGGCTTAGGTCTGTCCGTCCGTCCGTCTTTGTGTCTTTATTGTTTCGTGTCAAACTTACTCATTGCATTTTCAATAAATTTTCAAGAAATTTGACACGAAGGGACGCCACCGAAAATGAATTCAATTAGACCACCTATACATCCTTACTATCCTTATGAAGCCCTATTTTCAAAGAGGCCTTGCATTAAAGAGCTTTGTATTTTTAATATCCCTCCACAAATGTTACTATTTTGGCGTACTAAATAGGGAAGGGACCAATAGTTGAAATCTCTCTCATATAAACCTTTTTATAAAAAATAAGTTCAATAGAAATCGGTCAACGAAAACGGTCTTGCAGATGAATTTAATGCACAACGTTTGCAATGCGTAGATCTCTATAGGCAGCCCTTCTCACCTAAGGGTTCTCATAGAAAGTAAGCCTTGGTATGACAATGTGGGATAAAAATAGTCGAAGAGTAATATTAGTCGAAATTGTTTACCTAACATTTTTACTTCTTTTCTGGTAAGGAATTTATTTTTAAAAAAAGATTAATAAATGCCTATGCCCGGGTTGATGCACTTAATAAACTTGCAGACAGTGAAGGTGAGACCTGTTGGCATAAACAGGAAGCCACAGTGTTTAGTGTGAAGATTTAATCTTCTTAATAGTTAAATGGTTGTGAAAGAGAGTTTAACTACATTTTCAATATTAAGGTCAGATAATGATTTGTTTATTTAATGTATCATAAAATTCACATTAAGGTTAAAAAGGTTTAGTGTTTGTATACATTTGTTTAAATCTTCTCCATTTTTAATTATTTGCTAAAATAGTTTCAGATAAGAAAGAGAAGTCTTCATTTCAACTTAATCTTAACTGAAGAAAGTGATTTTATTTATGTGTTATATCATGCAATTAGGATGGAGAATAAAGAAGCAGGGAAAAGAGGTTAGTGTTTGTATCGATTTACTTGGTATAAATTTCTGTAAGGCATTTGCCTATTTAAGGACCGGAAAGCGATTTTTTTCACGTAGTAAACTACGCGGTTCATATTAACGTTTAAAAATTGAGGAAAAGCTGCTAGTGTTTGACTTGAGATTTGATTCGATCTTCTTAGTGCAAATTTATGTGTGAAGGTAGAATGTTGCTTTATCCTAATGTTAAGGTACGAAAATGAGCTTTGTATATGAAATATATCCTGTGATCTACGTAGTAAGCTATTAACGTAAAAAAATGGAGGAAAAGGCATTGGTGTTTCAATAGATTTAAATCAATCTTTTTAGTGTAAATTAATGGAGAAATGTAGAACGTGGCTTTATTCTAATTTTAAGTTTAGAAAATGAGTTGTGTGTGAAAAATCGTCTGCCACGTTATTTATATTTAAGATAAAGAACAAAGGAAAAGAATATCTTTTCAAAGGCAGAGCAAATTCGAAGAAAGTAAATGATCTATACTTGACACCAAAGATTGCGAGCAGTATGTGAACATGGTGGTTAACGGGCCAGTAGATTTGTTTATATCCTAAATCGATTTGCTCAATAAAAATACCTACCGCGCACCTATTACGGGTGAAGTGTTCATTCTGTCGATGCAAGAAAGCATGAAATTTGTCGTAGAAAAATCTTCTTTGAGCAGGTTGTCCGCAATGCGTTCGTGGATGAACTTCATATATATAAGTGCTTTAACATTATTTGGAGCCATCCCTTGTTACATTTGATATTTGAAAAATTTTTTATATCAGCCTACTTTGGCGCACTGTTTACATGTACATGTATAGATAAGTTGGTCTAAGAATTCTCTATCTTTTCATTCAAGTATCATTCACTTGTGATTGACTAATTTTACCGTAAGTACTAATAGGCTCAACAATTTTTAGAGTAACGAT